GTGGTACAATTATAAGACATGGCTATCCTTTTTTGCCATTTGGCTTACATGCTCGGGGAGGGAAGGATTATCAAATCCTAATGAAAGATTGTTCTCCAGACTTTTGGTTAAGCTAGAATAATTACTAAATTGCTTTATTTCGTTGGTAGAAAGGGCAATAGAGTTGGTATTAGTAGAAGGGGTAGATTTGTCATTTATCCAATTTTCTGCATGGTTTCATTTTCAATTTTTTTTTAGGAATAGACACGTTATTTTCCAACATGTCAAAATCTTCATTTAAGGCGGACATTTGTTCATTTGCATGGCTATTATTTGGATTATTAAAAAATATATTTTTTCTTGGGTGGTTTCATCTAAAACCATGTGCTCATTATATAAGAGAGTAAAATTATTTTAATTAGTAAGGAGGTTTTTGGTTTAGCTATGGTGGCCGGATTCTTTGCCTTAGCTATGATAGTTGGATTTTTTGCTTTCTTTATGTCCATTGGACTAATGGATTCCTTCGGATCCTTTGATTTATATTGTAAATACTTAGTATCTAGGTACTTACCAGTGCTTGCATTGAACATCTTAACGGGGATACCTGGACCATTGTTGTTTTTGACCAGCTTGAGACTTGTTTCCTTCCTTTGTTAAAGGACACTGTCTTCCACTCCTCTTGCTGATTTTCCAGTATTGAGGTTGTTGCTTGCTCCTTGGTCTTTTCCTTACTGATCTTAGCATCCAATTTAATAAAAGAACATTGTTTTGTTGTGTGGCTAGTCTGCCACAGTTAGTGCACATGAAGTTATCTCCTTCATAGTGAATGTGTTGTTTATGTTGTCCAACATATAGGAATGGTTGGGCTGAGATTTCTAGCGGGAGTTCAACACAAAGTCTTGCATATCGACCCCTTTATGTGGTTGAAGTACTAACATCAATCCTTAATAAGCGACCAATTGCATTGCCAAATTTTTCAAGTATTTTGCCATCATAAACTTCTGTAGGAAGTTGTGGGAGCCTAACCCATACTGCCGTTGTTGTTAGTCTCTCTTCTGATGCCACAAAATTTGGTTTCCATTTAGTGATGGAGAGGAAATGACCATTAATGAACCAAGGTCCTTGTTGAATAGCCTTCTCCGTATTGTCTTTATTTTTGAACTTTATTATGTAGTAATATTCTACCAGATCAATCATTTGAAAATCTTCCGTTGGCCTCCATAAATCTTGGATTTTCTTTTTCAAGTAGTGGTGCAACATGCGTTTGCCCACTAACTTCACTATGATAGTATTCTTCCAGGGCTCGTAAATTCTTTGTCTGTCTTCATCTGACAAAGAAATAACTTTGATGCCTCGTGTGATGAAGGACTCTGGATGTTCAGTCCTACCCTCTATATGGGAATTCTCTGTTAACTCCACATTTTTTTGATTTAGAGTAGAGTCAAACATCATTGGACTAGATGTTGTTAGCATGTCTTTGAAGGATAGTTTATTTTGACCGGTCTGTTATATTATATGTTAGTTTATTATTGTATATGTTAGTTAATTATTTTATATGTTAGATCTATTATTTTATATGTTTGTTTGTCACTCACTTATTTTTTAATATAATAAAATTTAATAATTATTTTTTATAACTATATACGATTTAATTATTAAATATTCGTATAACAATATTTAGTTTGATAAATATTGTTGTTTCCTCATATTATTTTCTTAAGTTTGTTAACTATAATTGGAGATGGTTTATGTTTGAATTATCAGCTTTTTGACGTATTTTTTAGTATAAGAGATACTTAAATGATTAATTTCTGTAACTACAAGAATACTACGCTAAAAGGGCATTACATTACAAATATGAGCACTACATTAGGCCATAAGATACCACTACAGGGAACTAAAGTAATAACTTATCTAGTTTAGTAGTCTTTTAGCAAATAAATAATTTAAACTTGATAAAAATGACAAATTAATTTAATCACAAAACAATCGCGAAAATACATATACCACAGTAAAAAGTAATTAAACAACTAATAATAATTTCTCTATTTTACTATTTTTTTAGCATACTAATACTATAGTCCGGATAAAAAATAACAAATTAGTTAACTCGAAAAGCAATCAAAAAATACCTTATAGCACATAAAAAAACAACCAATATGCATTTTTATACGAGTTTTAATAAAAGCTAAGTCGGAATACCTTGATTTAAAGTTTTTGAGGTGATTTGGAGCCGAAACAAGCAACTCATCTCGAGATAATGCTTTAGCTAGGACGTGAGACCAAGAATCTACATTTTTTGTGGGACCGGTGGGCTCCACTCGAGGTTTTTTGATTAAAAATTGGGAGGGGGGGGGGGCTGTGAGAATTTTAAATTTGTAGGGGGGGGGTGTTTCTATTATGTGGGGAAGGGGAAGGAGACGATCTTTATATATGTATAGCGTCTTTTATTAAGACGCTATACCTGTAGCGTCTTAATAAAGAACGCTATATTTCCCGCTTTATTTAATTCAAATATAGTGTCTTTTAAAAAGACGTTATACTTAACTGGCCAAACGACAGTTAAAGTATAGGGTCTTTATAAAACGTTATATATAAAATTATGACAATTTTTTCCTATACATTTTGGTTCTTTGAGTCCAAAAGAACTACATTTTGGTTCCGAACTCCTACAACCTATATGGCAAAACTTTATATTTGTCACCCATTAAAGTTTATTTCCTTGACCCTTCGAGGTGCAGAGTTGGTTAAGCATAAGGAGGTCTAGGATCTGATATCCACTTGCATATCTTTTCGCTTAAACTGGGGTTGCCTAGTATAGTTACTCTACTTTATAGTTTGCAAGTTATTATACAGGAGCGGAGTTTACCCTATACGCACTCTAAAGGTAGTAACTGTGGATTTTCTTATTAAAAAAATTGTTTCCTTGTTCATAGAAGAAATTTATTTTTTATTGTAAACTTCTATTTTAAATTTAATAAACTATATATATATAATTAGTATGATTTTCAAACAGACATTTTGAAACTTTAATAAACTATTTGTAATTAGATATGTCGAAACAAACATATTTTGTAATTACTATATTATGTAGTTATCAAGTAATATAATTACTAACTATAGTCATGTTTACCTTGGAATCCGGATAACAATTGAATTTATATGGGGTTTTAAGGATCCGTGAACTAAAAGATACAAAAGGTTTGGATTGAGGAAAATAAAAGATAAAGACTCAACAATTGCTGCTAAAGTAAATAATCGCAGAATATAATATTGCTTAGAACAATTGTGCTTGATAGCGTACAAGAATTGAGAGAGATGGTACCGTAGTGTAATGGTTTCCGATCCCCTCTTTATGGGGTCTTCTCCCCTTTTATACATTCTGATTAAGGGTAAAAATAAGGTAGGTAAATTAATTACATCGTGGATCCCTGTAATTACGCCTTAATGGCCTGAAGTGGTTGAGAAAATCACGTTTGGGCGAGATATCCGGCGACGCTTGGTTATCCGTTACGAGTCCGGCTTCCGACCTTGTGTGTTTCTCCATCCGGTGGTGACTCATATCGAGCTCTGCAACGGTCTCGAAATGACTCGACCTCGGTTGTTGACGTGGCCGTCGTTCTACCTTGCATCCAGGTCGGGTTCGATGGCCCCGACTTGCCCCGGACCGGACCCAACCCGGTCGGGCTCAAGCAAAAAGGGTATCACCCAATACAAGTCATACCTCTATATAACAACCATCCTCTATAACAATATTTAACTATAACACCTAAGTTTTCTTTGGATTAAATATTTTTAATTAACAATAATATATATTCTCTAGGGGTGTCAATGGTTCGTTTCGGCCGGTTAATTTATAAAATTTTTACCATATCAATTTTTCGGTTATTCTATTTTATATAATCAGAATTAAATTTTTCTAAACCGTCACAATCATCTCGGTTTCTCTTCGGTACCGGTACGGTTTGGTTAATTTTTCGGTATTTTTCTAAAAATGTCATGCAAGAGTCGCTAGTCGAAGTTAGAATGCACATGTACCTGCATAGGACTTTGAAAAAACTCTCTAGATATTTTTCCTATTTCAAAAGTGATGATCAAAAGAGCATGAAGATGTGCATAATGGAGAATCATCCCACTATTATATGGTAGCGTAAAACAAATTAAGCAAAGAAAGAGAAATATAAATCATACGAGTCCAAAGATACTAATCAAGTTGGGACTCAATAATAGAGCTTATTAGAAGATTAGCATCCAACAAAGGAAATCCAAATCATACGAGAGGAAAGATATACAATACCTTGTGGCTTGTAATTGAAGATTGCTGGAATACCTAGTAACTTGCTACTCAAGATGTTAGAACTGATTTAATTTATGTATGAGTAGTGGAATAAGTTTGGAAGTTGAGACTTTAGCCATTAATTATTTAGTAACTTGTAGCCATTTTCTTAAGACAAAAAAAAAATGCTTTGTTAGTTTTAAAATTAGTATATAAAATACATTTTTCATATATAAATTTATGCGGTACGGTTTGGTACTTTTTCAATTTATTTTTATAAAATTAAGAACCTACCCTATTATTCGGTACGGTTATAAGTTTACATAAAAACTTACAATTTTATAACAACAACAGCAACAAACCTAGTATAATCCCATATAGTGGGGTTTGGAGAGAATAGTGCGCAACCTTACTCTTACCTAGTGGAGATAAAAATGTTGTTTCCAATAGACCCCCGCTCAAAGAAGCATAAGCACCACATTAAAGGATAGAAAAACAAGAGAAAAAGATCTAGTAATCGATTCGATACAGTTCGGTTATGTTTTAAAGATCCATTGACACCCCTAATATTCTCCGTAACAAGACTTCATTACAACAACAAAAAACGAGTGAGTAATAGAGAAGTTTCACTGTACTAATTTAATAATGACATAATAATTTTCAAACACACATTAGAATGCAAAAAGATTACCACAAAACTTTATTTGTATCATAACTTAGGTAAAAGTCGGGGACTATTTTCTTGAGGCATAAAATACAAAGGCTTTGAAAATATCCTGAAACATCGCCCTTTATCAAAAGCTAACTTACCTTTTGAAACCCTAATTCCTCAATTCTCACCATCGCCTACGACACCATATAACCCCTACAAATTCTACCGATTTTCAATTATTTTCCACGATTCACAAATACTGTTACCTTTACTTTGTCATACTAATTAGACATGTTTATTGGAGCTACAGAGAATAATTGCAGTATCTCTAACGCCACGACTATTATATCTCGGCTTTCTCCAATCCTTCATAGAAAAGAACCCAACAGAAATCCAATCTCTATTCCTCAAAATATTGTCTTTTCCCAGTTGGGTTTGTCTCGGTGAGTCCAATTTTTGCATTATACTTCGTTAAAATTTGAAAAAAGTTAAGAACTTTAGCTTATTTAGCTGAAATAATATCTGTTTTTTGGCTAGATTTTATCAAGACTCTAAAAAAGGGTTGGTGGAAATTAATTTATAGCTATTTGGGTGTATAATTTTTGGGTTTTCTTGGAAATTTTTTTAGGGGAAGAGTAGTGATTTATAATAGTGTTTTCATTAGTTGAGGAGATTGAAAATGGTGGATTTTGATGGCAAAAAGATCAGAAATATATGTATACTTGCTCATGTGGATCATGGAAAGACCACATTGGCTGACCATTTGATTGCTTCATCTGGTGGTGGTGTGCTACACCCCAAGCAGGCTGGTAAGCTTAGGTTTATGGATTATTTAGATGAGGAGCAGAGGCGGGCGATTACTATGAAGAGCTCTTCGATTGGTCTTAAGTATAAGGAACATTCGATTAATCTTATAGACTCTCCTGGCCACATGGATTTTTGTAGTGAAGTCTCAACTGCAGCCCGTTTGAGTGATGGCGCATTGGTATTAGTGGATGCTGTGGAGGGTGTTCACATTCAGACCCATGCAGTTTTGCGTCAGGCATGGATTGAGAAGCTTACCCCGTGTCTTGTTTTGAATAAGATTGATAGGTTGATTGTTGAATTGAGATTGACTCCGCTTGAGGCATATAATCGGCTGCAGAGGATTGTTCATGAGGTGAATAGTATAGTGAGTGCCTACAAGTCTGAAAAGTACTTGTCGGACGTGGATTCGCTGCTCTCTGCCCCATCAGAACTCGTGGAAGATGAAAATCCAGAGTTCATAGATGATGACGAAGAGGATACTTTCCAACCCCAGAAGGGGAATGTTGCATTTGTGTGTGCCCTAGATGGATGGGGCTTTACTATTAGTGATTTTGCTGAGTTTTATGCTTCAAAACTGGGTGCAAGTTCAGCTGCCTTGCAGAAGGCATTATGGGGGCCTCGGTATTTTAATGCCAAGACAAAGATGATTGTAGGTAAAAAGGGACTTAGTAGTGGAAGTAAGGCTAGGCCCATGTTTGTGCAATTTGTTCTTGAGCCACTTTGGCAGGTTTATCAAGCTGCACTGGAAGCTGATGGGGCCAAGGAGATGCTTGAGAAAGTTATAAAGTCTTTCAATTTGTCTGTACCTCCCCGTGAACTTCAAAACAAGGATCCCAAAGCTGTGCTTCAATCTGTGTTGAGTCGTTGGCTTCCATTGTCTAATACGATATTGTCTATGGTTGTTAAATACATGCCTGACCCTATCTCTGCTCAGTCTTTCCGTATATCTCGGTTGCTTCCAAAGAGAGTTTTCTTGGATAATGGCACCAACCCTGATTTGCTTTCTGAAGCAGAACTCGTGAGGAAATCTGTGGAATCATGTAATTCTAGCCCTGATGCACCTTGTGTTGTCTTCGTTTCTAAGATGTTTGCTATTCCATCAAAAATGCTTCCCCGTGGAGAGATGCTAGATGACAGTGGAAATGGTGACTCTGATGAATGTTTCCTTGCATTTGCCCGGGTCTTTAGTGGGGCTCTTCATGCCGGGCAGAAGGTTTTTGTGCTCTCAGCATTGTATGATCCATTAAAGGAAGAATCACTGCAGAAGCATGTGCAGGAAGCTGAGGTGCAGTCTTTGTATTTGATGATGGGTCAAGGATTAACACCGGTGGCATCAGCAAAGGCTGGTAACGTCATAGCTATCCGAGGGCTTGCCCAGCATATATTGAAGAGTGCCACTCTTTCATCTACATTAAATTGTTGGCCTTTATCAAGTATGGTTTTCCAAGTTTCGCCCATGCTTAAAGTTGCAATTGAACCTTCTGATCCTGCTGACATGGGTGCACTTATCAAAGGATTGAGGCTTCTAAACCGAGCGGACCCTTTTGTTGAGATTTCTGTTTCTGCCAGGGGTGAGCATGTTCTTTCTGCAGCAGGTGAGGTGCACCTGGAGAGATGCATTAAAGATTTAAAGGAGAGATTTGCAAAGATAAACTTGGAAGTCTCTCCGCCCCTTGTATCTTTTAAAGAGACTATTGAAGGAGATGCCACTAATCCGTTAGAAAACTTGAAGTTACTGAGCCGCAGCTCTGAGTTTTTGGAGAAAGCTACTCCAAATGGAAGATGTGTTGTTCGAGTGCGTGTTATGAAGCTTCCAACAGCATTGACGAAGCTGCTTGATGAAAATTGTGATCTGCTCGGGGACATCATTGGAGGTAAATCTTTGCAGGCTTGTAGAAGCTTGGAAACTCTTAGAGGTAACATTGTAGAAGATGAGAATCCAATTGAAGCACTCAAGAAACGCCTCATAGATGCTGTGGAGAGCGACTCTTCAACTGGATTTGCTGAGACGGAAGAGGACAGGATTGATAAATGTAAAAAGACGTGGCAAAAATTCTTAAAGAGGATCTGGGCGTTAGGGCCTAGACAGATGGGTCCCAACATTCTCCTCACTCCAGATGTGAAAGGAAAGAGTGACGATGCGTCTGTTCTTATAAAGGGTTCACCTCATGTATCAGAAAAATTGGGCTTTATGGGTGACTCTGATGATAGCGGTACATCACCTGAATCATCAACCAGTGCGGATCAGACCCTTCTACGAGAAGCTGAGAATCTTGAAAGCAGTATTTTATCTGGATTCCAGTTAGCTACAGCAGCTGGCCCTTTGTGTGATGAGCCAATGTGGGGTTTGGCATTTGTTATTGAGGCCTACATATCTCCATTGGCTATGCTGCCAAATGATAGTGACACGCCGCCTGTTCCACAGCCGGAACAGTATGGGATGTTCCCTGGACAGGTTATGACTGTTGTGAAGGACGCGTGCAGGGCTGCTGTTCTCCAGAGAAAACCGCGGCTGGTGGAAGCCATGTACTTTTGTGAGCTGAACACCCCACATGACCAGTTGGGCAACACTTATTCAGTTCTTAATCGGAGGCGTGCCCATGTGGTGAATGAAGAAATGCAGGAAGGTTCTTCCTTGTTCACTGTGCACGCATATGTGCCAGTTGCAGAAAGCTTTGGATTTGCTGATGAGTTGAGGAGAAAGACTTCTGGAGCTGCAAGCGCGTTACTCGTTCTCAGTCACTGGGAAGCCCTTCCACAGGACCCTTTCTTTGTACCTAGGACCGAGGAGGAGAAGGAAGAATTTGGAGATGGTGCCAGTGTGCCGCACAGTATAGCAAGAAAACTCATGGATTCTGTGAGACGGAGGAAGGGTCTTCCGGTAGAGGAAAAAGTAGTACAGCATGCAACAAAGCAGAGGACTTTGGCTCGCAAGGTGTAGAAGTTTTATACAATTCAGCTTTCTGTAATGCTTGGTTGTCACATTAATCCCCTTTTTCATTATTACTTAGACAAGGAAAAAGAAATAGTTAGCTCAACCAATACAAATTTTGTACTGTTATTCATTGAGGAAATTTTGTTGGCAGAACACTAAAAGATTTTTGGCTAAGCTTTCTTTTGAGTTCTTTTGGATGCAATAAGAAAACTTATATTTTTCATTCTTGTAATTCGATGCTTCTGTGTGCCTTTGAAGAAATTTCTTTCCGTTTCAGCTTAGCCATTTGCCCAGATGAACTGTCCAGGTCCAGTGAGTATTCTTTTTGATAACTGAGAAATTTGTCTAGGGCCAATCCTTAGGACCAATCACACTAGTCATAGTCAAAGGGCTCGCCTCCTTCTAGTTGGAGATGATGGGTGCGCCCCTCTAGTCACTGAAACGCGGGGATGATGAGCCCACCCCTCTATGCTTCTCCACTTTAATACCAGACTTAGCTTGCATGGTGCAAGGCGCATATGTTTTGCATGGTGCAAGGCGCATATGTTTTGTGCATAGAAAAGTTTCTTCTGTTTCGCATTCATTGTTTTCTCTTTACTCTATGATACGTCCGTTATTTCTTTTTGCTTTTTCTTCATTTTCAAATTTCATCAGTGCATGACAATTTAAGTTAGTCTATAAGCCAATTCTGTTCTGTTTCTCATTCAATTTCCAGCTTCCTAGGATTTGCCATTGTTTTTATTTCAATGTTGAGATGTCCTATTTTGTTTGGACGAAGTCGTCATAAAATTAACTCTTGAAAACTTTGAATATTTTCAAAATGAATTGGTTTATAAATGTCTTTAATCCGAGTTGATCATCGTGTGAACCATTTTAATTTGAACCTTTATTGAATTAATAAGCATAACATAAACATAACATAGGCTGAACATGTCACATTCTTAAGCTAAATGAGAAGTATACTTTAAAAGAAAATATATCTCAAATAGCTGAAGAATATATGGAGCAAACTCTAAGATGTCAAAGTTTAACAACTGTGAAGTGTCTAAGCAAAATCTTACAGTAAGTTACCCTGATCATCTATGGTGTACTTTCTAGACCTGGCATCGACTATGCATGAGGATTGAGTCCACTGATTCAATAAATAGGTAACTACCATTAACCATTGGAACAAGCAGTCTGAAAATTGTGAGATGCTTACACTTACATTTGAATGCTAAATACATAAGGAATTTTTACATTCCTATGCCATATAGGAAACTATATTACCCTCAATGTTTAAGGTTTGATATAATTACATTTAGTATACCTCATTACCAATTCTATACCATAAGGTATTTTAACTGTACATTAATCGTACCTTATATCACTCCTAAATTTATGGTAACGTATATTCCTCCAAATCCCCATCCCCCCATATTTCTCTCTTCCAACCCCACACCCTCACTCACGTATCACCACACACCTAGAAACCAGAAAAACCAGAAAAACAATTGAAACCCTCTGCTAAATCCAGAAAAACAATTGAAACCTTCTACCATTAACGTCCAAAATCAAGGTTTTTTCTTGTACAACCAGTCAAAATTGAAGTCAAACCTTCAAAGTTTCATACACAGCAATAACTTTTGATGGTTATGATTTCGGGTCCCTTCAGTAATATAAGAGGAAAGGAAAAGAGAGCAGCAATTCCACCATTGACAGCCATTAAAAAGCTTTGAAGCTTTGAATTCAAATTTGGGTTTTCAAAAATTATTATTTGTTTGGATTGAGTGTTGTTGTAAATAATTGGGAATATGGTTTGGATTATATCTCAATTTTGAGGGGTTTTGGTGAAGATTAGACTTGGTTTTGGCTGAATTTCAGATTGAAATTCGAAGAAGAAGAACAAATTACATACATTATATTGCAGAAATTGTAGAAAAATTATAGAAAAATTGTAGAATGTTGTTTATTTATTTTTGAGCTTTGTGTTTTTGTGTTAAAAGTTTTGATGGGAGCTTGTTATTCCACTTCGTCTGTTTTGGAGCTAACTTGTGCAGAGGAGAAGATGTTTTTTAAGTTATATATATTCCTATACCTTTAAATTCAAGAAAGTATGGTTGTATTGTATTTAAAGAGGCGTGAATTTGTAGAATAGGTTGAATGTGAGGAATGAGTCAAATAAGACTCACAATGGCTTGTTTTCTACATTTAATCTACAATAAAACTACATACCATTTGAAAAATTAATATGAAAATACAGAATTTGAATGTTTACAAATTATCTACAAAATATCTACAAACTGGGTACATTGAATTTTAATATCCCAATTCCCATTCAATTGTAGCATAATTGGAATTTTCAACATAATTGCGTTTTTTCAGAAGATTTGTAGAGGTTTTAGTCATTTTTTATTTATGAAAACAGAAAATAAAGCATCTACAATCAGAATACAAATAATCTACAATTTATCTACAAACTGGGTACATTTTTGGACTCAACATGCTTCCCTTGAAATGTATGTTTCACATTTTTGATACATATTTTTGTCCAAAACAGTACTAAATCATCCACTTAAATACAATTTTTATACAATGTTGTTCAACTTTCATACAATAAGTAAATGAATAAAAGAAAAATAAATAAACAACAGTCTACAATTTTTCTTCAATTTATCTACAATTTCTGCAATATACGTCTTCTTCTTCGAGTTTCAATCTGAAATTCAGTCAAAAGCAAGTCTAATCTTCACCAAAACCCCTCAAAATTGAGATATAAACTCCAAACTGTATTCCCAATTATTTTCAACAACACCCAATCCAAACAAATAATAATTTTTGAAAACCCAAATTTGAATTCAAAGCTTTCAAGCTTTTTAATGGCTGCCAATGGTGGAATTGCTGCTCTCTTTTCCTTTGCTTTGTATTACTGAAATTTGGACATAATTGCATTTGATGTAGAAGAACTGTAGAAGATTTAGTCGTTTTTGATTTGTGAATTGTAGAAGAATAATCAATTCGTTTTTGAATTTTAGAAGAATAATCAATTCGTTTTTGAATTGTAGAAGAATAATTGCGTTTGATGTAGAGAAGCTAAATTTGAAACGAAACTGACGAAGAAGATTAATGTGCGTGATTTGCGTTTGGAAGATTTGGAAGAATATTTAATCCCTCAATTTTAGCCCCTAAATAAGGAAGCCTACAACTACAATGATTCCTTATTTAATGCACGGTCTATATTTTGTAGAAATACTATTAGCATGAATGGTAATATGCAAACTATGAACATATTTGGTAATATAGTTTCATATATGGTACATATACGAAAATTTCCCTCATAATACGTAATATTTTTTTTGATAAGGTGAAGATTTTATTAAAAATAGTATCAAGTGGATACTGTGAAAATACGGAGATAGTGCTGGCTTAAAAACATTCAAATCCTACGCAGTCTAGTATGTCCGGTATGTTTGTAAATTCATGACAACATTTCCATCTTTCCATATAGTACAAATAATGCAAACAAGTATATTTCAGACTGCAGCTGCTCTTTCTTGCCTTCAAACACCTCTTATTTCTTTCTTTCCATATAGTCCAAGCTATGTTAAGAGGAATAGCTCTCCAGATCTTCTGTAGGGATGCTTTAGACATGCCTGCCAAGTAAATTCACAATACAAAATAATATGGTCCACAGATTCACAAGTTTTCTCACACAAGTAGCATCTGCCGCACATTATCTAACCCCTTCTCGTCAATTTTTTTTGAGTCAGGCATGCTTCAGGAGATACTACCCACAAGGCCACTTTTGTTGGGACTGTAGTCTTTCAAATCATCTTCCAAGGCCACTTTTGTGCTTGGCCGGTTGAACAACATTCGAAATTGTGAAATTTGCACAATATAGTTCCCCACAAATACTAGCCGAAATATATATATATTTTTGTATATTAATATTATAACATGCATATTTTATATATAATCAGTGCATATGTTTGGCTAGCAGCTGTAGTTATTTTTGGCCAGCCAAACATGTTAAAAGCACTTTAAAGTTTATTATGCAATTGAAAAAAATATGAGGATTTGCCTATAGGTGCGCTCATTGGGCGTAAATAATGTCGCATGATTTTAGGTCGTGACAAGAGTATTGCACTTTTGTTGCTCCTTTACACAGTCAATTTGATCCTCTATATTATTTATTTTTTAACTAATTATTCATATATATTATTAGCGTGATATCTCTGATGTCGCTTGCTTTTTCTTGATACCAGTTCTACCAGTGTTTCTCGACAAGGCACTTAATTAATCTTTGCTTATGACATAATTAAGTAAAAATAATACAAAACGAATTTGATAAGGAGCCACCTTTTTATGACCATTCTCTTACTAGGTGGATAATCAAAATAGCGAAATGGTAAGCTGTTTAGTTAATTACAGTTGGTTATGGAAGAGGATTAGTGTGTCTTTTAATAACAAAGACCAAAGACTACAATAATAAAGGGTTCTAGTTATAGACAATCTATTTTGACTTGGAACATTGAACACACAACATATTAAGGTGACATTTAATTATTTAACATATATCATGCGTTAGGTGTATGGCTTATATCAAGTCACAATATGTAGACTAATGAGAAAGAGCTACCTTATTTTTCTACTGAATTTCCTCTTCTTGTTTAATGTTTCTTCTGAGCTACATGTTAAGATATATAAAAAGAAAACAATGGACTTCAAAGACGTCAACTATATAAATATCACATGAATTTCCAAGTCAGAGGAGATGTATGAAAATGGGTTCCTCTCACTCAATAATTAACATGTGATTTGCCTAATTAATTGCACAGTTCAAATTAACAAATAGTTGATGAACCTTACACGAAATTGCTCCCTTCATATTTTATTACCGATTCAACCCTCCATACCTCTATTGCTTGATTTTCTGTTTTTTCTTAAAAACGTTTCAGTTAATTCAATTTTTAAACTCTGCAATTTGAGTTTTCATATTTTTTGGCATTCACATTTCACATTTGACAATTCACAACCAGAAAACTGCGAAAAATCATCCAGGAATATTGACCGAAATCAGTCGGAAAACTGGAAAAACCGACCGATTTTCGACCGGCTTTAATCCGTCGAAATAAAGCTGGTCGGTAATAAATAGCGACTGAAGTTGATCGCAGTTTCCGACCGATTTCGGTCGGTTTTATTAAAAAAATAAAATTACTAACCGAAATCGGTTAGTATTTTAAAATTACCGAC